CATCACCGTGATTATCAGCGTCAGCGGGCAGTAACTTATCACTATCGTTGTCATTCCAGTGATAATCAGTATCATCATGACAATCACTGTTATGACATGTAGCCACCGACACCATCACTAGTCAGAACCTAAAAAATATCATACCTGTTATCGTTTGATCTTCGCTATGATCGATCGCAGTCATTTCTGCCTTGCCTTCGTGTATATTACTTTGATGCTCACAATGATCACGAAGATGAATCTTTGACATAATCATACCTTGCGACTGTATGATCAACGTCGTGCTAATAATCGTCATTTTCAGCTCCATGCAAATCGTCTCGTTGCGCTGATCTCTTCTGTCGTTATGTTTGAGGTGCTAAGCGTGTTTATCAGTTTTGTTTTATCAGTTTTTTATTCTTATTGCCATTAATTTTATCCTTTGAACTCATTTTTTACTTCTCTCTTCGCTCAGTTTGTTGTCAGCCTCACGTGATCCTAGTTATCTGGTCCCAATAATGTCACACTGCGAAATGCATTCTGTTGGTCACCATTATCAGTTTTGGATTTCTGTTCTTTTTATTCTAAGTTCATTCCCATTTAATTGTCACCACCTTCCCTCCTGTCACTTTTGCCTAAAACTTGATATGATCGTTCTCGTTATCGTGATCATGATTATGTTGTCCTAATCCCAATCTGTTTGAAATGCCTGTCTAAAGTTCAGGACAATCTTGTGTGATCGGTGTTCCTTTGGTGGTATTAATACGGTGTGAGTATTGCTTTTCCTGATTTATTAGACTTAGTTGTTGACAAGTACAGTGCCACCACATACTACGTAAAATTATGTTCGTAAAGTATTTCGTTTTACCCATTTAACAGCCCATATTTTAGTGCTGCGCGACCTGGCATGGCAGAACAAGATGTTATCAGTCCAGAATATCTTTCTCCAAAATGTGAAGCGGATTATAGTTGGATATATTCATACAATGCATCGAAGATGTGTAATATCATGTTTGCATTCGCTTTAAACCGTCAGCTGGAAAAGAAGAAAGTTTTCTGCACCGCCGTCCATCCGGGAAATTTGCTGAGAACGCCTTTAATGAACAGATCTTACGTTTGGCGCTTCTTCTCGACTATCTGCCGCCCTTTCGCCAAATCTCTTGTAGTTATTCATCAATTGCGTTAGCAAACTGAATGGTCTAACTCTGGTAATTTTCAGGATCAGGCCTGTTCTACGGTACTCTACGCCGCGTTTGCGCCAGAAATGCAGAACGTTGGGGGGCGATACTTGAACAACTGCTGGTACTGCAACCCTTGGTCGATCTGTGCGAATATACAGCTGCAGAATCAGCTGTGGAGAATTTCAGAGTCGTTAATAAAAATTGCAACTGTCGCAAAAAAGTCAAAATCGTGTATTTAACGGTTATGTTTTTCTACCTCTATCCTGATGTAGCAGCGACTGATTAAGTGTCTCAGGGATTGCCTTTTCTTCGGCTTGTAGCTTTACGTTTCCTTTGATTGTGCTTCGGAAGCGAATTTACTAATATGGTTACGAAAATGCGTATGACGGTCCTGCGAGATTTGTTGAGTGCTCAATGAGCAGAAACATTAAAAATGTTAAATGCTTAGGCAAAGACGATATTAAACCAGAGCACCATAAAAAGGAGGAACAATCCTATGGAATACCTCAGACAAAACATGACGCATATAGTTGGAAAGACATCAAGCCGATGGTTCTGATGAAGAAAGGCGACTTGGAGGAGCTCAGGAACTCTCAACCGTTTACAACTCTGCAGTCGTCACTCGCATCATTCTCGACCATATTCGGAATGATCTTGAACTAGTCGTAAGTCCGAAACAAACCGATTTTCGTGCAGGGTTTTCTACCATCGATCATGCACGTTTCGTTCAGCAACTGTTGGAGAAGTGTAACTGATATCAAGTGCCACTTTGCTTTTATCGACCAAAAATAGGCGTTCGAATCGATAGAATTTATGGCACTCTCAAACGCCTTCCATGAACATGGCATAAATCATGTTTACGTTTTATGGAGGAGTTAACCACCGGTTGCAGAACGAATATCCAGCTCTGTTGCGAACTGTGTAGCATCCATATCCATCGATGAGTGCGCTGATAAGATATCAGCTCTACTCCGCATATTTGGAGTCACTCATCCATTTGCTAACCTTGTACGACAACATAAATATAAAAACTAGGTGAGCGGCTAGCACGTTTTCTTAAGACTGCATCGTCAGAGCACAAGACAAGAAGGGTCTCCGGCATAATATTCAGCAGTTGCAAGAACAGTCTCTTATAATCGATTTTGAAGTTAATTTCACTGAAATAAATTGGAAGCTATAGGATCACTGTTCAAA